TTTCATATAATGACAATTTTTTGTCAAAAAACCCGAGAATACAACCATACCTGAATAACACGACAACCATACGGATGAGTCGACAATGTCACGACTTGGTCATAAAATGTTGAGACAATGAACTGAATTGCGTCCTCAGGAATGCATTCAATACACTTCTGCACAACATGGTTCCCATTTTGGTCACGAACACAACGCATGATATGACCATCTAGTTCTGTCACCATTTTAGTCTGCTGGTCGATGTTGACGACTTCAATTGCCTGAAATGATGTTTTAGAGACCATAATATTTCCGTTACAGTGTAAAAATGAAACGAAACTTCATCTCGAACACCAATATGTCAACGAGCGAAAGGGAATTTAATATCATTGGGATGGGGAGATGTTCCAAGGAAAACAGGCAGGCAACACAGACCTTTTGAATCACTCGGCAACCGTACATTTGAAGGCTGAGTGCTAGCACGTGTCCGTTGAGTTGATCAGCTAGTTCCCTTATTTGAGATGCAGTTCCGTGCTCAAAAAACTGGATCCCAAAAGACAATAAACAACTCGACGCTCATCATTAAAACCGAAAAATTATTAGGAAAGTGCATACACATGAAAGTTAGAAGCAAAACAATACCTTCTGAACGACATAATTACCGAAAACGTCGGTCATTAAGGAAAGAGCTTGTGGCATAATTTCATGGAAAACCATGTCTTTCTCTTCCTCAGAAGCAGTTTCAAGTTTCTGTTGAATGAAACGACTACCATATTGATCGGAGCTGTTTAGAAGGAAAACGAAAGCATTCAAATTCAAGACAGGCTGCATTTCGTAATAGCATAGAAATATAAATCGTCCAATGGCAAATACCTGAACTCGAAAACATGCCCAGCAATTTCTGAAAGTTCAAAGCATCTGCTTTTATTGTTTTTAAACTCATCCAGCAAAGAAGACACAAAACCTCCATTCATATTGCCACCAGCTTCAGAATGCCAACCTCCCATGCCGCCTCCAGCTAAATTTCTCATTCCCGAAGAGAAGCGCAAGGCCTTACCGATGTGGTTGATAGCATTACCAGACCCAACAGGAGAGCCAGGAAGAAGGGATCCACCTAACGGACTTCCAGGATACGACATGCCAAGACCGAATCCGGGGTTGCCGTAGTAGTTTTGATTTAAACTGCCAGATTTACTATAATAGGGAAGAACATATTGAGAATTTTGAGATGAAAGCAATGCTCCCAGGTAAGCTTTCTGGACTCCCAATAAATCCATATATCCATTACCCATCAAGCTTTCACCATCCAATGGAGGGTCACTAATCCCGGCCACCTGAGCAGCAGCAGCAGCAGCAGCGTAATCGTTTGATCCCAAATATTGAATGTAAGATGGATCCAATGCAGGTAACTGCATAGCATTCATTGCATTATGATTTTCCAACCTGTTGTTCTTTTGAAATTCGTTGGCTGTCTCTAACATTTTTGATCCTAAAGCTAATCCACTGAATGCTCTAGTATTCATGCCACTCATTCCCATTGCTGATGCAGCAGCAGCGTTCTCATACAGCGGTGGTAAATTACCACTGCCAAGATGGGTCGTCCCAACAATGGAGGAAACTGGGGGATGAGTCGTATAGCCACCGAATCCATAATTCAAGAAAGAAGAATTAGCATTATCGATATTCTGATTGTGAGATGGCGAACCTCGTGCGTTATCAAGTGTTTGTTTATATGGCCCCTTCATATACGAAGTAGGCGAAGAAACAGCCTGCTTATTGAATTCCGCATGCTCGACACCCAACACGAGAGAATTGTTCTGATGAGATCCTCTAGATGACTGAGAAGGTGAATGCATATGAAACTTCCCAGATTCCAAGTTCTTATGACTTAAATACATTTTCATATCCTTTTGTTCACTTTGCAGGTTGAAGAAGTTACGATGATCATCAATCTCCTGCTGAATATCCGACTGCAAGTGGCTTTCATCACCTAGAATACCATTTGATGACAAATTCATGCCAGAAAAAGAAGACACCAGGTCTGGAGATTCGCTCGCCTTCAGTGAAACCCCATTGAAAGAATTCGGACCGCAAGCATTTCTTTTATCCACCGTGCTGGATACCCTCCCACCACCTACTGGAGGAATACGAGGGCTCGGAGCTCTTGCTACGAGTTGAGGGTCGGGAGTTGCAGTTCTTGACAAGGAGGCTCCTACAGCTGATGCATAAGTATGAGGGTGAGAGGCACCAACCCCTTGGACTGCAGACATCCCCTGTTTGTTCCCACCCATTGTTGCCATATCTTGATGTAAGTAACCAAATTGGCTTTCTGAAGCTTCGAGCGTGTCGTCAAATGCATTGCGGCTAGTCGGACGAGAAGGGTGTCGGGAGATGGATATTCCATTGCTTAAATCATCCTGCCACGAAAAACAAAATTAAAACATGTAGCAGAGACTTAAATCAACAAAGTTTCTATTAGCCTCACAGCAGCATGCATAATAAGTATCAGTAATGTTAGAATCATCTGAGTTAGCACAAAAGAAATAAGAATTTGATCAAGTTCACAACTACTTAAGGGAAAAAAGACATCTTACAAGAACATAAATGAACAAAAGAACACATCATCTAGATCATCCAGAGCCTCATATAAAACAATCAAAAGCGTGATCACCTGAAGGATCTCAGCAATGCTTTTCTTCCTACTCCCAAGTCCCAGCCCCGGCAGCCCAATAAGGCCATCGCCGGTCCAATCGCCACCGACCCGCCTAGATTCAATACCAGAATCCTCATTGGTTCCAACTCCAGGCTGCAACATGAAAAGTGAGCCATTCCCATTAACCCCTTCATCACCACCACCACCGCCACCACCACCAACAACTCTACCACCTTCCCACCTATCTCCAATTCCACCCAATCCCCCAGTGCCTCCGCCGTGCAACCGCTGCGCAAACCGCCAATCCTCCTTGGACAGCAGCGGCGGCGGAAGGCGAGGGTTCAGATTCACATTAGAATAGTAATAGTTAACATAAGCAGGATCAGAACGAAGCTCTTCATCAGAGATAAAACCTTTCCCAGTACTTTTGTTGAATCCCAATAAGTCGTAAGCATTAAACATACCTCCGACGGCGTTTAAAGAGCCCTCCACGGTCGGCGGGGCAGAGCCACTCCGGCAAAGGCTGAGCTCCTTCTCTCTGTCACTCATAGCTTCATGCTGTTGCCTTTGCTGCCGCATCAACATCCCCAAATCTTCACCATAATCGCCACTTTTCAGCGCCGATCGCAGTGAAACATCGGTACCCAATTTATTATAAGTATCGGTGACCATAACTAAAATCAGAAAACAAAACGAAATACAGAACAGCCTTAAAAAGCTCCCAACTTTGAGCTAAAAACGAGCTCAAAATCGATCGAACACTCAAACAACCGATTCACAGCTTCAAAAATTACAATCTCATAGCTTCATTACAAGAATCCAAACAAAAGGCATAAGAGAAAAAAAAGGGGGGAAATGGAAATATCTCTGTGCGTAAAATTTAGTGTTTCTTTTAAGTTATTGATTAGAATTTAGATTACAGTAACATGAGCATCAGATTGGGTGTAGAGAGGAAAAAATGATCAAAGAAGAAGAAGGGGTTAGCCATTTTTGTTGTTCGCTCTTTTCACAGAGGAGAAGAAGAAGAACGCGAAGAAAAGAGACAGTGAAGTGAAGAAAGGAATGATAAGCAAGTGGTGGAACGATCAAAACCGTTGAATACAATAATGAACGGTCAGGATTGATTCTAGTGAACGAGATATCTTTTAGGGTTTTATTTCAGTGATTAATGCAAAATGATTTTGCCTATTTTGGAATTATATTTTATTTTATTTTATGAAAAATAAAAGGAATTAAATGGAAGGATATAAAAAAAAATGTTTTGTTGGAATTTATTCAGATTTTTCACTTTCTAAATTTTGGAAATTTTTCTCTTTTTAGAAAAAAAATTTACACGTCATTTCTGTAAATTAATAAAATTTTTATAAAGTTTTATTTAGATCGAAACACAATAAAATTAGAATTTATAGAAAATAAAATATTCTACTACAAAAAAAAAAAGACCATTATGTTTGAAAAATGGTCGGGAAAAAAAATTATATATATTATTTAAAGTTTAAATAGAAAATGAATTAAAAAAATGATGGAAATGCCACGTCGGAGTCAGAGTGTAAGAAAGACAGATCCGAATTTGTGGCGACAAGCACTGTAATAACTACAAGTGTTTGTGTTAAATTGGGGAGTGATCGACGAAGGAACTAAATACAAATACTTTTTTTTTTCTATTTAATTTTATTATTTTAATTTCATAAGATTTTTAAAGCGTTATAATAAATCTACCTCTCGTAACAATGAACACGTTGCACCAAACATTTGCATTAAACTACGAACCGATAAAAAAGATAGTAACGACAAGTATCTCTCAAACCCGTGTAAGGTATTAACTCGGTTTGCTTTTCCATCGCTTCCAAATTCGTCCATATTCAGTAATTGGATAATTTCAGCCACTTGGACCAATAATAATAATGTATCTAGCACTGTTAGCTGCCATCAATGTATATAGTGTATAGCACGAGTCGTGTTGGATAGTAAATGAAATGTTTCGGTAATATTTTCTATTTCTTAAAATGATGATAAAACTAAAATGGCAAAAAAAATACAATTTTTTGGTTATTGTTTTTCTAAAATAAGAAAAATGGTGGAAATTATAGAAATTCATAAGCAAACCAACCATTTATGGGTTTCCTGATAAGATAAACATATAAATATTATTATTAAAAATTTAACAGAATTATAAAATAAATAGATAAAAATGGAAGCAACAAAGGCTGTTGAGCAGTTGGGGAAGTAGAGATGTAATAAACGCCGTTTGAAATGAAGCATCAGGAATGGGCCACGTATTTGAAACTGGAAAACGGGGCTGACGCGGTCTTATCGTTGGATTATTATTTTTAAAAATAATTAAAAAAAATTTATAATCAGATTCAACTGGGTTCCTCTTTTCTTTACGAAAATTTGCAAAATCAAATGCTCGGCCTCCTTTCAAAGCCGAACCACCACTTGTCTCTCTCTCTCTCAAACCTTTCCGTCCCAGTTTCATTGGCCCCGCTATTTCTAGGTTATTTGATCCAATCCCCCATTTCCCCAATTTACACTCTTCCAATTCAATTCCACACTACTTTCTTGTTTTTCTTGTTGCTTTTTTAGTTTCGAGATACACATTTTGATCGTGGGGGCTTTTGTTTTGTGTTGTTTTGTTTTGTTTTCTGGTTCTGGTGGGATTCTTCGATTTGGGGAGTTGGTGATTGATTGGATTCGATTCGATTCGATTGAATTTCGTTGATGTCGTCGATGGCGGCGGCGTCGTCCTACTGGTGTTATCGATGCAGTCGATTTGTTAGGGCTTCGAATCAGGAATCTGTTGTGTGCCCCGATTGTAATAGTGGGTTCGTTGAACAAATTGATCATCCATTGAGCTTGCGGAACATGGAAACGGCGCCGCGGAGGAGGTTTCCAGCGTCGGCGATGTATATGATTGGTCATCGGTCGAATTCGAGGCAGAATTTGGGATCTGCGATTCGGAGACCTCGAAGGAATGGAGGGGATCGATCGCCGTTTAATCCTGTCATAGTTCTTCGTGGGCCGCCTGATGGGAGTGAAGGTGGAGAAAGTCGTCGGTTCGAGCTTTATTACGATGATGGTACTGGTTCTGGCCTGAGACCTCTGCCTCCGAGTATGTCGGAGTTTTTGTTAGGGTCAGGGTTTGATAGGCTTCTGGAGCAACTTTCTCATATTGAAATGAACAGCATTGGGCAATTTGAAACCCCTCCAGCGTCCAAATCTGCGATTGAGTCAATGCCCACTATTCGAATCTGTGAAAATCATTTGGAAACTGAGTCGCACTGTGCTGTTTGTAAAGAGGCATTCGAATTGGGAAACGAAGCACGGGAGATGCCCTGCACGCATATCTACCATTCTGATTGCATTCTACCTTGGCTTTCAATTCGAAATTCCTGTCCGGTATGTCGCCACGAACTGCCTTCGGATAACCAAGACTCATTGGATGCTGCTGAAATTGGCGTGAATGGGGGTTCGATGACCTCGAATGTGGATGAGAATGGGGGGTTAACCATATGGAGGCTCCCAGGTGGGGGGTTTGCAGTAGGGCGGTTCCATGGAGGGAGGAGAGGTGGGGAGAGAGAGCTCCCTGTTGTGTACACTGAGGTGGATGGTGCTTTTACAAATGGCGGCGTTCCTAGAAGGGTATCATTTGGATCGAGACGCGGGAGAGGGAGGGAAAGAGGCGGGTGGAGGCGCTTTGTTCGCAATATGTTTGGATGTTTCAGGCAACAACCAATGAGGTCGTCTGCGGCATATACTTCAAGTTCCAGCCCTGATTCTGGTCCTTCAAGGAGTAGTAGTAGTAGACCACTCCCGCAGATGAACGCAGAGCCAAGGCAACGGCGGACATGGTCTATGGAGGTTAACAGCGGGACAAGCAGCTGGTGATTTGGGGATTGGAAGGTTGAGAGGCAGCCTTATTTATTGCTGTAAATAGCAAAAGTTGAATGGAGGAGGCAGTTCCATTAAAAAAAAAAACAAAAAGCAGAAGAATTTTTGCGTTTTGGGATATTGGGATAGAAAAGTGGGTAATAAATGCAGCCAGCAGTGTTGCTGAAGGTGGAAAAGAGAAGGAAAAAAGAGTATGATGAAGGGGTCGTTGTTTGTAGGAGCAAGGTGGGTGGGTGATGGGTTAATATATATAGTCTGTGTTAGAAGAAAAGAAGAAACAACCAGTTTCAGAGATGGAGGTAGAGTGAGTGAGTGAGTGAGTACCTGCAGCAACTTCGTATCATATTTATCATAATATCTATCATCAACTATTTTACTACTATTACTTAAATATGCTTTTAGGCTCAGATTTTTCTTGATATCATTCCTCCCTCCCTGATCTTAAAAGAATATGTCAGCTCTGTTGCATCAACAACTTGGTTCCTTGCTTCAATAACGCACATCTTATGCCTCTAATCGTGTATATGCTTAGAAATAAATTGCTGAGTTTGCGTTTGTATTTAACTTGGTGTTCACTGCTCTTTATGTATCTTATTTTCTTGTAACCGTACTAGTTCAAGCTCATACCTCGTAGATATTGTCTTTTAGGCGTTTTCTTTCAGGTTTTCTCTCAAGTTTATTAAAACACCTCGGCTGGAGATACGTTTCCACACACTTATAAACAATGTTTTGTTCTCCTTCCCAATTCGGAGCCCAGCGTTCTTGCTGGCACTCGTTTCCTTCTCCAATTGATGTGTGCAATCTCCCAATCTACCTCTTTCAGGGTCCAGCATTCTTCCGGGCACATCGCCTTATGTCCACTCCCTTTGGGGCCTAGCGTCCTTGTTGGCACACACTGTCTCATGTCCACTCCCTTCGGGGCCTAGCGTCTTTGCTGGCACACACCGCCTCGTGTCCACCCCCTTCGGGGCCTAGCGTCCTTGCTGGCACACCGCCTCGTGTCCACCCCCTTCGGGGCCTAGCGTCCTTGCTGGCACACCGCCTCGTGTCCACCCCCTTCGGGGCCTAGCGTCCTTGCTGGCACACCGACTCGTGTCCACCCCCTTCGGGGCCTAGCGTCTTTGCTGGCACACCACCTCGTGTCCACCCCCTTTGGGGCCTAGCGTCTTTGCTGGCACACTGTCTCGTGTCCACCCCCTTTGGGGCCTAGCGTCTTTGCTGGCACACTGTCTCGTGTATACCTCCTTTGGGGCCTAGCGTCCTTGCTGGCACACTGTCTCGTGTATACCTCCTTTGAGGCTAGCCTCCTTGCTGCCGTATTGTCTGGTGTCTACCCCTTTCACGACTAGCCTTGATACCATTTGTAGCAGTCCAAGTCCACTCCCGAACGGATGTGATCTCACGGTAATTTTGGCTTGTTACATGACCACCATGCTATTGAACTGCAGTGTAAATTGGGAGGTTTCCCGTAGTAAGTTGTCTGTTATGCAGTTCATGTTAGAATGAATGTGTTATGTCATTTGTGGAGGGTTTTGTGTTAGGCAGGTTCGCAATTGAGATGTCTGTGATCATGAATAACCAGGTGAGTTGATGAGCGGATGAAGGAGCTTCTGGAATTCAAACATTTCAACCTTCATAATCTAAAGGTACGCTAATCAATTGAGATTCAAACATTTTTATGCGTAAAAGGATGATAATAAAAAAAAAAAAAAAAAAAACCAGGCACGTGGATCAGGAGTTGACCGCCAGCGAAGCGAAGTATAAAACGTGCTCTCTGCTAATTGGTCCACGTGTGAAGGGCCGCCAAAACCCGCGACTGTGGGGTCCAACTCGACGCAAATCTGACAATCCTAACAAGATTCCGCCACGTAACGTCTTAAAATCTTGATTCGAAAGCGGGCAGCATGCCGATCCGATGGTAACGGTCGGAAAAAACGCCGTTAAAAAAGAGAACAAACAAAATTGGTGGTTCAAGTTCCGAGATGGGCCCATAATGGGCCACTTCTATGGAGGAAAAGCCCATGGGCCTTTATTAGGATTAGATTTGATAGGGCCCGGAGTGGGCCCATGTCAATGGAGATCTTGGATTTTCTATTTTTCTATTATTATTTTTTAAAAAAGAAGAAAAAATTGTGAAAGTTGTGGGGGGCCCAGGAATTTGAGTGACAAGGAAGGCTTAAATAAAAAAGAATTTAGTGGGAGAATTTAATTGACGTTAAGCTCCCTAAAATTCCATCACTACCCAATTATGACATCAGATTCTCAATTAATACTAATTATTGGTTTCCCCAACTTTTCATTTTAATTCTATTTTCACTTTTTATTATGAAAATATATGATGTATTAATTCATTCAACTATATTCAAATCTTTTTAAATAGATTCATAATTTTTCATATTTATTATTTACTTATAATAATATTATTATTATTTAATTTCATAATAGGATTGACCTAGCTAGATTGTCCTATTATTTTTATACCAAAATTTTGTATTTTTATTTTTATTTTTAAAGTTGTGGGACAAAACGAGAGAGACACTATTTTTTGTACGGGCATGACACTATTTTTTTAATAGTAATATAAAGTTATTTTTATAAAATAAAAATAAAATTTTGAAGTTGTTGAAATAGTGATTTTTTTTTTTTTTTTTTTTAAATAAGCTAAGAGACACCAAATAAGAATTTTAACCTTTAATATTGAATTTTTTTATTTACCAATTATTTGAAAGGCTAATATGATTTATAATGTCTAATTGCACATTCAAGAATTTAAGAGTGGGCGACTACAATGTGGTGGTCACTTCGATGAACACTAATTAAAGTGAAAAAGATTATGATCGAGACTTTTTAATACTTTTCGATTTCTTCTTATTTTCTCTTAACCTTTTTTTCGGGTTATCCAACACTATAAAGATATTTAAATCTAATTTTTGAAACACGAGGTGACTCAAAGGTTATCCAATATAGATCACTAACATGTAATTTCAGTCATCTCGAAACTGAGTGACAATTAAACTCATTTTCTTGGATTTAAAGATGGGGCGATAGGCTTTTAAATAAACACAAAAGTAGGTTAGAGGTTTATAGGTTATAATGTATTTCCAAACTTTTTTTAATTCAATGATTGAGTCAAGCACACCCTAAAATTTGAAATTAAAAAAAAAAAAAAAAAGTACCAATTGTTTTTAAGGTTGGTCCTACTTAGGCACGCCAAGGGAAAATTGCAATTATTTATTAGCACATTAAAGTTCCTTTTTTTTTTTTTGGTCAAAATTTTGGTTGGATTGAGGGGTAAAAAATATGATAATGTCGAGTAAAAAGTAGATTTTGTTACTTGACTTTGGAGTAATTAAGGTGTTAAAAAAGGAGTGGCAATAATTTCTGTTTAACCTCTCTGTTAATGGCATTGGGAATGATATTGACTACTCTAAATTCACTACAAAACCCACTTCTTTTTCTTGAAAAAATAAACATCATGCATTTTTGTTACATTTTAATTAATTTTTTTAGTTTAAATATCTTATACGACTACAAATATTGGGTAGAGATTCAAATTTTCAATTCGAAAAATAAACTCGGAGTCTATATGAATACATATGTAGACTGATATTCAACCTTACGACTGTTCTTTTTCATTTTTTCAATTTATCAAGAACCGTGAATAAAAACCGATTCAATTATGATAACGATAATGTATATGAGGAATTAAGTGTTACTTAGAGTGAGAATAGAGAAATTAGAAGTATGAAGGCCACCAAAATAATGACCTTTCCCACTTTATTTTTTTTTTTTCTTTTGTACTTTTCCTGAAGAATCTCTCAGATGATAATTCATTCTTACAGCTCCCTTATTATGTCCCTACACTCTGCCTCTTATTAAACTACTTACACTTCAAAAAAAAAAATACATATATTTCTATTCTTAAAAATGCTCTCATTTAGATATTGTATCCGTTCATTCTATGTAACGTAGATGTAATGTGTATCAAGTAAGATGCACGTAGACAGAGATGAATTTAGTTGTTTTTTTTTTCACTTTGGTGACTCAAATTTGTGATCTATTAGTCAATGATATAATGTCTTAGCTACTTGAATTATACTCAAGCTGATTAAATGTTATGTTGTATGGAACTCCAGGGTACGCCTAGCTACCCTAAACTCAGGAAGGTCAAAGAAAGCTACCCTAAACTCAGGAAGGTCAAAGAAAGCTACCCTAAACTCAGGAAGGTCAAAGATTAGCGCTACTTGAAGTTGTTAATTCTGTTTGAGAAGAGGTAAGATGGTTCTAGAGAAGGAAAGAGGAAATGGGTTTAGAGGGGGCTATAGGAGGGAACAAATGTGGGTGTAAATTAGGAGAGGTACAATGGGTAAGCGTGTCCTCCAGGCTCTATTTACTTCTCAAGCTATTTTGTCAAAAGCTTAATTGAAGCTCCCTTTCCCCCTTTGCCTTTTGCTGTTTTGACTGCAGAAATTTGCTTATGATCTGATCTGATCTGATATAATCCAATCCAATCCAAATGATTTAATTACATAACTTTAATCACCGCAAAGCCTGTGTGTTTTCCTTGCTCTGCTCTGCGCTGCGCTTTGAGTTTCATTAAATTTAACAGAGATCCAACACACTTTTTCTTTCTCTCTAAATTGGAGCTAATGAATCTCTTCCACAACTTTAATCACTGCAAACCCTGTTCTTCCTTGCTTCCCTTTGAGCTTCATTAAATTTAACTAATACCCATTACCCAACACTTCATTTCTCTCTATCTTCAACCTAATTAAGTTCTTACACAGCTTTAATCACTGCAAAAGCCTGTTTTTCCTTGCTTACCTTTAATTTAACTCTTATCCAACACTCTTTTTCTTTTTGCCATCCCATTGAAACCCACAAACACATCCCTATTCAGCTTCAGGTACCTTAGCTGCCCTTGTTTTGGTGTGATTCAACCAACACACACACTCTCTCTCTCTCTCTCTCTAAAATCATAGAGAGAGAAGGAAACTCAGAGAATAACCCAAAACCCAAAGAATCCAGAGAGATATATAAGGATGAACAAGAAGGTGCATTTGATTTAGACAAAAACAATGGAAGAAGTTACAAAGATGAATGCTTGTTAATAAGAACGAACCCTACAAATCTCACCCATCAGATTCAAAAAAGAAACGAAATTTAAACTCATCAGAGATTCCAGGACTACACCATATATATATATATATATATATATATATATATATATATAACTATTTACAAGTATATAAAAATCTCTCTCTAATCTCTCTAAGATCCGGATTTGCAATACTTCTGCAAAATCCCATCTGGGTTTTATAGAGCATATTGCATTTTCAACCAAATCAAAACAAACCAAACCAAAACAAAACCCAAATCATCTGATTCTGATTTTCTGATCTTTCTCTAAACAGGGGATCTCATGAATCGCTGTAGTTATGCCAACAGATGAGCATGGCAACACAGCGCCTCATGATGTAAAATCGAGCCCTTTGTTCTTTTACCAATTTGGCACATTTTCTGGTGAAAGAACGCCTCCTCTCAGAAGAATTTCTCATCAGAGGACAGGAAGAAGAAGATGATCGGGTTCTCGTGGGAGCCTCCTTCTTGGGCAGCTTCCATTTCTCCTCCATGGAAAAGGGCGGCGGAAGAAAGGTAAGCCCTTTAAGAGTGAAATGTGAAGTGGGGTTGGGGAAAGGTTGGAGCTTTGGGAAGATGGAAGGTCGAAGAGGATTATTAAGGCTTAGAAGGAAGCTCCGATGGTATTTATAAGGGGAAAAGAGGCCCTAAAAGAGGTTCAAGAAAAGGCCGTGGCAGTGGATATCACTTCACACACCTGTTTTTTCTTTCAGAGATACGCCATTATAATATCATATATCTTTTCTTTTTTCTTTTTTCTTTTGTTTTATGAATTATATGTATATATTTTTTTAAAATAAAGAATCTAATTCGAGCAATAACCCACACGTCATGGAGGTCTACTAATTTAACCACTGTAAAACGGAATTCTGGGGATTATAAAAATGGGCTCTTTTTACCGTTTTTTACTTCAATGCCAGCTGTCCAGGATAAATTCTTTTGCTGCCTTCATTTATTAGTTTGAAACTGGGATCATTTTAGATTCAAGATTTTGCATTGTTTGGGTCTAGTGAGTTTGTATTTAAACTTAAGAGGTGGAATTTTTTAAACTTCAACCTAATTTATCCAAACCAAATATTGGCTCCACTTCTTTTTTATCTCCAATGCTACTACCGTTAGTGGATATTGTCTATTTTGACCCGTTACGTATCGTCGTCAGTCTCACGATTTTAAGACGAATCTACTAAGGAGAGATTTTTACGCCCTTGTAAAAAAATGTTTTGTTTCCCTCTCCAACCGATGTGAGATCTTACAATCTACCCTATTTGAGGCCAACATTCTCATTGGCACACTATTGGCTCTGATACCATTTGTAACAACTTAAATTCATCGTTAGTAGATATTGTCTGCTTTAGCATGTTACATATTGCCGTCAGTCTCACATTTTAAAACGCCTCTTCTAGAGAGAGGTTTCCACACTCTTATAAGAAATGTTTCTTTCTCCTCTTCAACTAATCTGAGATTTTACAATATATAAACCTTGAATGAAGCTAGAACCTTAGAATATAAACTTGAATGAAGCATACTTTTATAAGGCCAACCATCCTTAAGGCTTTTAGTTTTTTCCTTTCCAAACTAAAAAGAAAATGACATTTAAACCACAATATATTTACCAAGATTTTCAATCATTAGGAAGCTAACTTACATCTCACATACTAATTTTGACTATACATTG